TATGCTTTTGAGCTCTTCGAGCTCAAAAGTCTTATCGAAATTTGATAAAACACGATTTTTTTAATTTTTAAACTGCTATAACTTTTGAATGAATGAACCGATTTTCACGCGGTTGGCGGCAATCGACGCAGTTTCTGAAGCTCCATGAAAAATTTTTAAGTTTAAATCGATCGTAGCCATGAATTTCAAAGTTATTACAAAAAACACTTTTTCGATTTTTTTCGACAACGATATCTCACGAACGCATCAACCGATTCTAACGTTTTTGGTGGCGATCGATGGGGATTTTTACGGTTAAGAGCTGACTAGATTTTGAGACGGATCGGTTCAGCCAATTCGGAGATATTTAAAAAAAATTAAAAAAAAAAAAACTTTTTTTTCATTTTTTTTTGCATTTTCTTGAAATCTACCGGTCTGAATCGGTTCAAATTTCCAGGAAATCTAAGTTTGGGCAAGCCCTTTCGAATGGCGCCAACCGCGATCAAATCGGTCAAGCCGTTCAAAAGTTACAAGAGGTTTACATACATACACACACACACACCCACACACTCATACACACACACATACATACAGACGTACGGACATCATCGTAAAAATAGTCAAGGAAGCTTCTTGTGACCTTCAAACGTCGAGATTTGATGAAAACTCGATTTTTGTAAAACGGGGTGAAAACAATAACTTCCCAATTTTTGAAAATCTGAGATTTTCAGCGGGAAGTTAAAAATAATGAAAAAGTTGGTTTTTACATTTTTTACAAGCTTAAGACTACTGATGGTTTTCTTAGCAAATTGCTTAAGGAGTCGAGATAAGTCATAGGACTCAGCTTGGTCCGATAATTTTTATTTTTTTTCTAATATTATTGATAGAATTGTTAAATTTACTTATATTCTATTTCATTCCTAAAACATTACTATTTCGGAAAAATAAAAATTCTTAAAATTCCATATCATACTCACTAAGATATAATATAATAATCCTGAAATTGTTCCGGTACTGGGTCTCGTTCCGCTATTGGGTCTTTTACCTTATATCAATTATTTCTTTAGTAAGAACTTCAACTTTGTGTTTTTTTCTTTTTTCAGAATGTAAATATGATGGCGACTACACTATCGAAAATACTTCCACTATTCATGTCAGTATTAAGTCAAGAAGACAATCAGGCATAGAAAAATACACCTATTGTCTCATTGTTTCCGCAAATGATAATCATAAATTCTTGAAAAATGTACGCTGCTGCAGGAGGAACTAGCATTGCTAATCGAAGAAAACAGAAGCAAATCAGCAAACAACGACCTTTGCAAATTTTGAACGGCCCAACAACTTCGCGTGGTAGATATATTGCCGAGTCAGAATTGTGTATCTCAAAAAATGCAAGAAGCCACACGCTTGCACAGCAGAATTTAGTCGTATCTCAACAATGTCACTATTCTGCACCATCATCCACATTTTACAATTCTTCCCAGGTTAATCATCGAAATCATACGCACAATCGCCATTATTTTAAACGTCAAAGACTGATTTCTGAAAAAGTGAAGCCACATCGTTTTCTGGCACCTCGGCTTTCGCCGATTCAATTTTCCATATCACCACCGCCACTCTCATTGGAGTCGACAACCTCCACCACGCATCCATTAAAATTCAACAATTTTCCATTTCCACCGCCATCATTTTTTGATTTAAGAATATCGTCTTCCACTTCTGAAATACAGGTGGGTTTTACATACGAATTCATAAGAAAATCCATTTACAGTGAAAATTGTACTAAACATTATAATTGAGATTATAATCTTTTAATGAATAATATTCAAATTTACTATTAAGAAAAAAAAGGTCCCAGATGATGAGATGATTTCCAATGTATTTATTGACTTAATAATTCTAAAGTTGATTGCCGGAATTAGACAAAGATGAATTTATGGGTTCCTCGACTACTCAATCGTGACATGTCAACTGCGAAAATCTTTCCCACCGACACTTCAACTACAAAAAACTTATTTTCGGTAATATGTATAATCTTATCCCAAATGCATAAAAGGACTCATTGGTATGATTGTTTAGTTCATAAGTTTTTACATGCATAATATTCCTTACTTCACATATAACAAAGTCCCAAAATTTGTTTGGGGTACTTTGGAGGTCCCTTGGCCTTGGACATCTATCTTATGGCTTTAAATAGATTAACTTTTTTTAAGTTTATAAATTTTTAGACAATCTAAAGAATTTAAATTATTTACTATTGTAAAGATTAAATTTACCATCGAATATTCTGAAAACCTCGGGAAAACCAACAATTGTCACTGATGGCTGAACTGTTGTTGTTCATCGCAGATCGAATGGCAGAGGATGGAATGTCTGCGGGTAAAAACAAATGTCGAAGTTATGTAAGAAACTTTAGTTATTTAGTTAGATAGATTGTTAGATAGTTCTCTGACTATCCCCGCGAGGGTGCCACTGTGTGTGTGTCTTTTTTGGGGGGGGGGGGAAATCCTTATTACGGATTCCAGGCATAGCTGTTTGGCCTGGATATATGGCGACTCGACGCAGCGTCACACTAAAACTCGACGCTAACGCCACTACCCACTAAACCCTAAACCCCTTTTTCCATTTTTCTTCTAATCCCTCATGGAAACCGCCGTCAGGCATTACTTCGTGAAGGGAGGATCTAGCAACTGCTCTTCCTTCTGGTGGCTAAGGTGTTATTTTTACTTCCTTCTCGTTTCTGTCGCTACCAGTTTGACATTTCTTGGTAGTTTCAATCTCAGCAATCCGTTGTACATGACATTCCAGAGAAGTGGACCGAGAACAGAACCCTGCGGTACGCCTCCAGTAACATCATACTCCTTTGGACCATTCTTCGTGTCATATCTCAGGACTCTATCTGTGAAGTAGCTAGCGTCGATCCTTCGTAGGTATCCTGATACGTTCATCTCTTGAAGGGCTTGATGCGATCCCAGTTGGCGGAGTTAAAGGCATTTTTGATGTCTAAAGTTGCCACCAGACAATATTTCTTCGTTCCCTCCTTCCATCTGGTACCGGCGATTGCGTCTTTGGCTATACCGACAACCAGGTTGATCGCGTCCAGAGTTGATCGTTCTTTTCGGAATCCGTACTGATTGTCTGCTAAGAGTGGGTCGACAACTGCTTCTATCCTTTGGTGGATTATACGTTCTAGTATCTTACCGGCTGTATCCAACATGCAGAGTGGACGATAAGATGACGGTTCTTCCGGTTGCTTTTACCCTTTAGGAAGTAGTACCAGCCGTTGTTGTTTCCACTTCCGAGGAAAAATCCCTTCCTTCAAGCAGATGTTGTAGACGTCAAGGAATAACGCTGGCGCTGCTTTAATAGATGTTTTCAAGGCAATATTAGGGATTCCGTCCAATCTCGATGCTTTATTATTCCCGACGTGGTTACAAGCTTCCATCAGTTCTTCTTTCGTCACAGGTGGGATATCATTCAGTTCGTCCTGTGTCAACAGGTAGTTGGAAATGCGCTGTCGTGGAAACAGTGCAGTCACGATCTTCTGTAAGAGTTGAGAACACGTAGGAGACGGCATTGGCTGATATTTCAGGTGTGCCATGACTACCTTGTATGGTCTACCCCACAAGTCTTTGTCCACCTCGTTGATTAGCTCTTTCCAGCAGTTCTTCTTGCTATCCTTGATGGCTTTGTTTAAATATCGACGAGCTTTCTTGTATTCTGCGACTAGTTCCACCGAGTCAGGCCACCGATAACCACGCTAAGATATTCTTCTTTTCTTGAAACACTCTTTCCGTAGAAAGCTGATGTGTTCGTTCCACCAGTGCACCGAAGGTCTTTGGTTCATGCCCCTTTTACGGGGCATGCAGGTGTCGCAAGCCTGGGCCACTCTCTTCATCGAGTCCTTGGTCATTTCTTCTCCAAATCCAGTAGTAAGCAGTTCACTGTTTAGGGCAGCTGCTAGTGCACTTGGGTCAAAGGATTTCACCTTCCACCCAACGATGTCAAGTTTCTTGGCCGGTCTTCTAGGATTCTGGTCCTTTGATACTTCCCAGAGAATTGCGTTGTGATCGCTGGCCGTGTAGATCTCCATCACCTTCCAGTCGTAGTTTACTCTGATGAGGCTGCTGCTGACAAAAGTAAGATCCACAATAGAACTTGCGTCGCCTTTAGTGTACGTCGGCGCATCGCCGCTGTTCAACAATACTACATCTAACATAGAAAAAGCTTCCAGTAGTTCTTTACCTCGAGCGTTGGTGTGTATGCTGCCCCAGTCCACTGCCCAGGCGTTGAAGTCCCCAGTTATTGCGACTGGTTAGTACTGCTTTGCGTCCTCCGTCAGTCGATCCAGAAAGTCCATGAATTCAACAATAGTGAGGCTAGGTGGTGCGTAGCAGCTGTAAAAGCGGATGCCATCTACCGATGCTGCTACAAAGCCGGCGCTGCCATTGTTAACGATACTCTGGAAGGGGAGCTTGCCACAGGACCATATGACAGCTTTTGTGGTGCAGTCAGTTTCCCATGTTTGGCCGCCGAGGTGTTTATACCGTTCCGATATAAGCACAAGGTCAAGCTTCTGTTCTCGTACTGTCTGCATGAGCAAATCATGTGCCGCCTCACAGTGGTTGATGTTTAGCTGCAGTATTCTCATTTTCGTTTATCAGTTATCTTCTTGAGTGCCTCTTGGTATACTGGGCATCTGCTTGTGCCGGCATGATGGGCGTTATTCTCTGTATCAGGTTGATCCGCACACAGTGCGCATTTAGCAGGCTTATTACATTCGGCGATTTTGTGTCCCTCTTCGCCACATTTAATGCAAAGTTTGGAGCAGTCGACTTCACTTGTGCACTGAACCGCACGGTGTCCAAAATGCCAGCATTTACAACATCGGACTGGCCTTAGTACTGTTCTAATACGACAGTTGTACCAGCCGATCCTAATCTTGCCGTGTTCTCCTACCACCTTCTGCGCTACTGTTGCTGCCAGAGTCACCGACGCAGTTTGTGTTCTGCTACGTAAGGCTTTACGAATTTTAATGGCCTCTACTGTTTACCACAATCGTTTCCAGCTGCTTTTTGTAAGGCTGTTAGAATGTCATCTTTTGTTCTAGTATCGTCAATATCGCGAATTTCCAGGTCTTCTTCAGGACCTGTACTAATGACATTTGCGTCCTCTTTAAGTATTCCCGCGATAGTCTTTTGCAGGTCTTTACCTCTATCACTACTGCCTTTCGACAGCGTGATGAGAATGTTCCCTGTCGCGGTCCTGCGTATCTTCTCGACTGTGTTGCAGACCTGATCCGGGTGAACGTCCGCCTTGATCCGTGTAAGTATTTTCGAATACTTATCTTTGTTCGCTGGACGGATAATAAGTGCCTCAGGTCTCGTTGCTACTCTTCTTGGCTTCTGGTTCGGCTTCGGCGGAGGTACCAGAGGTTTTTCTGGAGGCAGTTTCCTGCGCTCCTTCCTCTTGTCCTTTCTGGACTGCACCTTTTCTCAGCCTAGCTACTTGTTCTGTTCACCAGAGTTTTGTAGAAGCTTCTTAACCACTTCCTGCTTCGTGATGGAATGACCAGGTCCAAGGTCTTTCAGCTTCTTGGGAGTATGAAAAGCTCCGCCTTTGGAAGAACAAATTTTTCTTTTCAACTTCCTCAGGTTGCGGCCGTCTTGGTCAAAGGATTCAGTCTCTGCCGTCGTGATAGTTTCACTTTTTACTTCAGCGACTGATTCTCCGTCACCTTCGGCTCCAGTGTCCATCGCTTCTTCATTCACAACAGCCACTTGACTGTTTTTCTCCGATCTAGCACGGGAAGTGTGGTGTAATGATGAGCGCCATTCTTCATCCAGTTGTTTGAAACGTTGAAGGGCGTTCGCTACACTAGTCGTCTTGTTTTTTATCTCCTTGTGGATGTTTACTTTTGACTGGACGAAATCATTTAACGCGCTGGTCAGTTTCTCGAGGCATTCCAACGCTCGCGACCGCTTCATTTCCACGCCTGCTTCAATAGCTGCTTGTTAAGCGTGCGGCCCGTTTTCACTCTTGTTTGTTTCCATAGTTTTACTCATACTTTCAAATTTACCAGCGCATCGTACGGAATGAAGCGGGTTGTCATAACTAGAAACGGGTGTACCCTCGGAGATAGTACTCCTACCCCAGTTCCCTGAGGCCTAGTCGACACTTAGCTAGTCCCGGAATACGCGGACGGAGTAGACTCGCTCGGGGTGGTGAAGACTTCGATTCTAACACTGACTGCGTACTCCCTGATCAAGGCCCGAAGTGGCTGGCTCCTGAACTACTGCTGTAACTTGCACCTCGGCAGAGCAAACACACATCAGCCGTGGCCTGCATCGTCGGAAACTACGATACAGGTTCCGGTCACCTCCAGTGAGTCACAGCAGAGAACGATCGTCTTGCTGGGTCAGTTAGTGTGACCAACCCATTAAAGAGGAGTTTTGTCCACGCGAGTGTATTTTATTTAGCTCCTACCCTCTGTACCTCATCAACTAAGAGACCTAGTGTCATCCAAGGACAGCGAGTGTCAACCAATCCGCTACGGGAAGAAGCACCTGGTAGCAGTTTCTCCTCTGCCGCAGGTGTGTGTGTGTTTTGTTTTTTTTTTCTTCCCTTAAGGGAGGAATCCTTTTTATGGATTCTAGACATAGCTGTTTGACCTGGATATGTGGCGACTCGACGCAGCGTCATACTAAAACTCGACACTAACGCCCCTACCCACTAAACCCTAAACCCCTTTCCTCTTTCCTCTCATCCCTCATGGAAACCGCCGTTAGGCATTACTTCGTTGGGGGGGGGGGGGGATATAGCGACTGCTCTTCCTTCTGGTAGCTAAGGTGTTATTTCACCTTTCTCCTAGTTGTTGTCATTTGCTCTTTTTCTTTCGATGGAACGCAAGTCTATGAGGACTTCTGTTGCAAACGTATTTATGGCGTTCCAGGCAGCCTCTGATGACAGCATTGCTTCTACTATTGTCTCTGGTTGGATTTTCTTCTTCAGGATCATCTCTAGCTCATCTCGCTGTGGGTAAGATCGTGGGCACTCAAAGAAAACGTGCTCCACGTCTTCATTGATTCCTGGGCAGGACGGGCACTCTGGTGAATCATCATTCTTGAAGGGATGAAGATACGTCCGGAAACATCCATGTCCTGACAATATCTGTGTCAGATAGTAATTTACCTCGCCATGACTCCGGTTTAGCCAAACGTCGATCTTCGGTATGAGA